ACCAGTCTTGAGCTGCTCCTCGTAAATTCATCGCGAACACTTTGTACATCAAGGCGTCGTCTGCCTTGTACAGGATCATAGCACTCTTGAAGTGCCTCAAATGGCTCTCAGGGTCAGAATCTCCTTTGAACGGAGTGATGGATGGCGTTGTGAACCACTTTCGCGACGGAGCTCGTTCCACTTCCTCGGTAAAGGGCGAGAAGTCGACTCAATCAATTTCTTTGCGTAGGGCCTCCTCCGTGCTTCCATTAAGTTGGAGACTTTGGAGTCGGTCATTCACTAACTTCTTGACATCCTCTGCTCGCATGGCTGGTGGCTTGGGTCGACGTCTTCGGTGCCTCGAGCGCCACTGGTTAACTTCCTCCTCTGCCGCCAAGGGTCGATCCCCTTGGTTGCTCTGCTTGTGGGGCAGATTAGGAGATTGAGCTTGTGAGGATTCCTCTGTGGCTTGTCGCCGTGTGTTGGTCCTCGAGCGGGCTGGTGAGCGTCGATCATTGTGCTCGTCCACGGTTGTTCACGAACTCGAACTCCTTGCGAACCCAGCCTAGGTTGAATACTTCCTTGTGGGCCCAAATGGGTGTGGACATTGGACCGTGGGCCTAGCCTCTCGCGTACATTGGTCCTTGGACCTAACCTCGAACGGATCGTCGACCTGCTCATGGTATGACTTGCAGATGTCCATGTCTCATCAGCACGATCTTGCGTCTCGTCAGCTCGATCTCGCGTCTCGTCAACACGATCTCGCGTCTCGTCAGCTCGATCTCAATCTCTTCCCTGCCAGCTTATCCTTGCCCGACCAGCCTGGGATCTCTCGAACTGCTCGCTGGCATGCTCGTGCCTCCTCCTCTCCTCATTACGGGGTCCAAGGTTTGGGCCTTGGTTCAAGTTGATCTGCCTGAGTAGCTGGCCAATCAGGTTGTTTTGATCGTCCACTCTTTGTGCGAGCTGATCAACCCGTGAGTTAAGGTTTGCCTGACTGGAGGTGTGCATTGGGCCCAATGGCATATGGGCTAGGGCTCCATTAGACGCGTACACAGGTGCATACGTCAAGTGTGGTGGCAGAGGAGGGAAAGGATGGATCTGCTCCAAGACTGGGGAGGCGTCAAAGTAGCCACGGGGCTGTGCAGCAAATCCGGCAGCTGGGTGGTGTGGCAGGGCAGCTCCGGCCACTGGCACTTGCGGCTGCAAGGCTATGGAGGTCACAGGACCATGCGGCGGCTGTTATGCAATTCCAGCAGTTGTCTGCGGCGGCTGTTTTGCAATTCCGGCAGTTGTATCGACCATGGTTGATTGAAAAAAAGTGTGGAAAATGAATTTGGAGCACGCTTTGAGTATTATTTCGTGCTCTCAATGAAAGCACCAATTTGTGGGAGCAATTTTCCCCACAAGAATATTCGCCCACGATTCCTTCTTCTTCTCCGCTTCTCTTTCTCCCTGCAAAATAAATCGGAGTAAAAGGACCACACCCGGGGGGTGTTGGCCATAGGCCCTCCGATGCCTAAGTTAGGTTGGGTGTTTCAAGGAAAACCGGGTGGCCGGAGCCGTGTGTGGTGGCGGGAGCCTTGTGTGAGAGAGAGAAAGAATAGGAAGGGAGAAGGGTTTATCAGAAATAATTTATGTAGAGTTTCAGTAGGAATTCAGACGTACCTCAATCCTCGTGTGTAGCCAATATTTATAGAGGGTGTCAGAGGCTTTAATTTGGCGAGGTTGGGGGGGTTGGTGTATTTAGGGGTTAGGGATTTAATCAAATCCCTAATTAAGACAAAAATCAAAGACATCTAATTTAAATCAAATAACCTCCTAATTAATTCAGATAATTCCCAATTAGGCTAGGTAACTCCCAATTAGGTCAAATAATTCCCAAATTGATTGGCCTAATTATTTGACCTAGAATGAAATATTTTGCTTCCACAGCATGTGTACTTTAAATCATAAATCGAGAAATTTAGAAATATGAGAGAATATGAATGGATGTAAGATCAACTAGTCCCTCCTAACAATCAATCTAATTTCTAAAAAAGCAGACAGAATTGGATTAGTTTTTCAGTCATGTATGCATGATGAGCTGAATGATTCTTTTACGTAGTTGTCAATTCTTAGTTAACCAAATTCACACACTCAAGGCCTCTCTCAAACTCAACTTGCAACCAAGTGAATAGACAACTGGTCGCTTTAGTCTTCTTCATCCATTCATTATGCAATAGCGCTAAACACCAAAATAATACGTTCTCTATTTGAACTCTGCAAATATATAACTTCACACTATTGGGTGTTCTTAGGGCTCCACCAGTGAAGGTTGAAGGATTCCAGGAATTGATGGCTGGAGATGCTTCATCAAAACATGATTCAGACGAAAGTCATGCAACGACTTAATGCAACTTGGAGAAAACAAAATATGTTCAGCGAGCTCATAGTTATGTCACACTTACGTATGTACATATTTATAGAAGAAACTCTCATTATGAAGATAATAACCTCATTTTTATTCAATTTTCTTTAACTTTGATTTCATTTAATGATAGGTTGGTTATTCTCAAAATCTAATACTTAAAACCTAAAAGTGAAGCGATTAACCAATCCGAGACTAGCAACCATAATTCTAAATGAGAATTTCTTGTTGAGTAAAAACTAAAATAGAAAGGCTTTGAGATATGATTTGAATCGTAAGGGGCAAATAACACTTTAAGGAAACGATTCAAATCGTACCTCAAAGTCTTTCTTCATATTTCAGTTTTTACTCAATATTTTTTCACCGTAAAACAATTAACCATGTCATTAGTGCAACACAATACCTAATTGAGTGACCTCTGTAGCTATTTTTGGAGTTGAGTGACCAAAATGTAACTTTGAGTATAGTTAAGGGACCTTTGCTACAAATAACCCTTATTTATTTATTTTTTGTTATTTCGTTTTTATAAATATTTGGAATGAATTTCCAAGTTTACCCATGGATTTAACGGAAAAATAGACAGACTTAACGAAAGGGACTAGTAATGCAGCATCATATATAATTGGGGGACCCTTGCAGCTATTTTTGGAGTTGTGTGACCAAAATGTAACTACGGGTATAGTTCAGGGACCATTACTACAATTAATCCAAAAAATTAAGTAAAAGTGGTGTTTTCTCGATGCATTCTATATTTAAGAAATACATCACGTCATGCATATAGAGCTGCATATATTCAACATTTCAATTGTCAGCTGTGAATCAATCACAATCTGTAGGATCTGTGGGTGGCTGCTCGCTCATGGCTAATTATGTCACACACACATATATATGTTTAGCAGGTCAAATGCCAACTGCTTATTAAATTAATCAACAAAAAGAAGAACCTCCTAAATTACCTTCAAAACCTGCTAATAATTATATCTTCGTTGAAGTAAAAAGGAAAACTTGTATTCGCTAGCGCTAGTGGGGTATAGTTTAGTTGGCATTTCCACCTATGTGGATAGATGTTCGAAATCTCCAAACACCCAATAAATATTTGTGTAAACTCCCCTCCTCCAATGGCTGGTACTTAAAAAAAGAAAAATATTAATTAAAAAAAAAAAGGAAAAAAGAAAACCTGTATTCACAATTAAAAAGAAAAAAGATTTGTGTTACGTATTAAACTCAGATTTTGAAGGTCGTTGGAGTTTTTCAAGAGGTGCGTGGGTCATGCAGTCAAGCTTCCTTTTGCGTTCATAATGTCAACTGGCAAAGTAGGTTGTAGTTTAGCCTCATTAAGAAACCAGTTGACTTTATAGCTTATTTGAAAAAGTGCTGCCAAACACACCAAATATATTCACCGCATTTAATTTATTACTTAACGTGGCAGTCTTAGATACATGGTTTGAAAACTAGAGAAATTAAGGGCCCGTTTGATAACCATTTCAATTTTAGTTTTTAGTTTATATTTTTTATGCTGGAGTATAAAGAAAAAGAGGGAAAATAAAAGTGAGAATGAAAGTGAAGATGAGATTGAGAATGAAGATGAGAGGAAGGAGTAACAAAAGTGAAAATAAAAATTAAAAACTGAAATCTATTTGAAATTGTTTTCACTTTTTTTACTACTCCCTTCTCATCCTCACTCATATTTTCACTCTCATTTTCCTTTATACTTTAGCACCCAAAAAAAAAAAAAAAACTAAAAACTAAAAATTAAAATTGAAATTATTATCAAATGGGATATATGAAGAAAATCAATTTGTTATCATATCCACACATACATGGTAATATAGTACCTCCATTTTGTACTTCAAATTATGATTAAAAAAAACATAATTTGAGAACTAGAAAAACAAAATATATGATTAAGCTTAAAGAAAAAGAAAATTGAGATTACCTTAAAATAATCGTGATTATATAAAGATGTTGGAATAAAAAAAAAAAATGAAACAGCAACTTCTTTGGAATAGCTGTTAGAATTTATTTATTTATTTTTTTAAAAGGATTAGGAGCTTTCAAAATGGAGCCGTTGGATTTCAACGCCTCCTTCATTTGCCCATGCCACTTGTTCTCAATGAAGGGATAGACAAATACATTCTAAGCAAGAAAAATTGCAAGAGATAGACAAAGAGCAGCGATTTAGCAAATATCTTTAAAGCTTTTCCCTCATTAAACCCAATAGAAAGAAAAAATCAAAATTTCACAAATTAAAAAACATCTTAGATCCCTTCATAAATTCATATCATACATGAAAAAATGTTTTATGTTAAAATATTGACTAAGTATGAAAATTGGTTTTTCGGAATAATCATTTTCTCAAGATAATTTTTGGCGGCTTTATTCCTTACACATCAAATAAAAAAACTTGATTTTATGGGATTTTAGCATGAAGTATATATTAACTTAATGAGCCATCATATTTTGCACTAAACCCGATTTTTCATATTTTGATTTGGTGGGAATTTGATTTTCTAGTATTTTTATTTGAATCCAAATAGGGGGTACTTCCTTATTTACATTGTAAACTTAAGTAAATGGAGTAATATAAAAATAAATGAAAGAAAAAGGATAAAGACATTTACTTAAATGCTGAAAATAGAAATAAGATAATCTCTACACCTGGAGTGCACCACTACCAGGTGAGCAAATGGGCAATTTGAAGCACCTCCTTGTGCTTTAATAGGTCTGCTACAACACATATGAGTACATATCAAAACGTAAAGTATTTAAAATAACATACATATAAAAATACATAACAGTATATTATTTTTAAAATATAAAAAAACTTGAGTGGGGACCCGGGACCACACTGGTCCCAATTTGGCTCTGCCCCTAGAGTGTGGTACACATTAGTCTGCGGCGCAAGGCCCGCTTTCTTTTCCTTTCGCGTGGGCTGCATATGAAAATTGATGGGTTGTTCATCTTCAACCTTAACAAGACAATACAACACAATTAGTTGAACAAAGAGGCTTGAAGTAAGGGAAAAGATAAATGTTTTCGTTAGGGTTTTGTTAATGGATCAGAAAAATTTAGTAAAGATATCTAACCAATAATAGATTTATGTTCTTGTCTTGCTGATAGAATGGTTTCAAGAAAATCATCCATTGCCTTAGCAGAAGATCCCTTGAATTCAACCTCCTCTCTCATTGCTGCTCTTATCTGCGCCTTAATTTCACCAGCTTTTTTCCTCATTTCTCCTCCTTCGCCACTTTTGTCCATTACCAAATCTATCAATCTCTTCACCTCCTTTCCAACAATAACACTCTGCACTCCCCTTGTCAGCTCCACACTCACACCCATCTCCTCCACCAGCATCTTTGAGTTAAACGCCTGCTCGGCTGCCAAGGGCCACCCTATAATCGGAACTCCCTGGCTTAGGCTCTCCAGCACTGAATTCCACCCACAATGACTTACAAATGCCCCTGTGGATTTGTGTGACAAAATCTCCAACTGTGGTGCCCAGTTGTGCACCAACAAGCCTTTCTTGCTTTTACACATTCGATCTTCGAACCCTCGAGGCAACCATGCAGCTCTGAATTCTCCCTTCATATCATACCCAACTGGAGGCCTAATGACCCAAATAAAAGCCCTTCCACTTTCTTCTAACCCAATAGCCAATTCTATCATCTGTGTTTCACTGATTGTGTTCTGAGAACCAAAGGAAATATAAACAACAGAATCTGAACCATGTGAGTCCAGCCACTCCATGCATTTTTCAGCAGGTTGCCTTGAAACTCTTGAATCCGAAGTGGATGAGTTCTTTAGAGAATCTTTGGGAATAAGAGGTCCAATGGACCAAACAGGAAGCCTAAAGTAATGCCTCAAAATCTCCAATCCAAGTGGCTCAATTTCCTCAGCTGTGTTACACAACCAACCAAACGATTCGGTGGTAGAAAGTGAAAACTGGGACTGGTAAAATTTTGACCAAGAATCTGTACCATTTGCTGCTCTTATATAGTGATGCAGCTGAGAGATATGAAAACGAGACCGATCTGGAAACCCGGGCAGTGTGAAGTAGCCATCGCATAAAGCTGTGAATCGGTGTGGGAGGTTAAGCCAAATGGACATGAAGGCTGCACTGCCATAAGCACCGGATGTTGTGAAAGTCACATTCACAGTGCCTGAGCTCTTTGCAAGATTAGTAGCCCACCCAAAGAACATGTCAGAGATAATACAAAGTGGCGGCCGGCCTTCTTTTTCGATGATATCCAATATCAGGCGGCGAGCAGGAGCTTCAAGATTCACTGTTGCAGCACAAAGATCTCCAATTTGTTTCAGAGTCAAATTCTCTGTGTTCTCAGTGTCTGGGGGCAAGCCAAAGTCTGAGCTGCAGAATGGAAGCTCAGCCAAGTTGATGTCAAAATTGTTGGAGTGTGATTGGGTGTTTGATGATGATGAAGTTGAGGAAATGGTAGCTTGCAGGTATTGAATGTTGAGTGGGGTTGTGGCAATGGTGATGGTGAGCCCTGTTTTTTGTTGCATTTGCTTTGCTAGTGCCAAGAATGGTATGAGATGACCCTTAGCTATCATGGGAAGCATCACAATATGCTCACGATCAAATCCCATCTCCGATTTGGGGTTTATTTTGTTAATTTGGATCGGGCTATAGTTTCAGGTTTAAATGGTTTGACGACTGCTTGCTACCAGTGGTGAGCAAGAACATATATTGCAATTTGGGACATTTGCAGTGAACCACGCCAGCACAACTCATAAATCTACAGTTATAGGCAGGGGCGGAGCTATTCATAGGCCAGAGATGGCCTATGAAACCACACATCATTGTGTGGTCAACACCAACTTCGTATTTATGACTTGTGATGATCTAGTTCGTTGTGCTGCAAAATCATAAATTTTCAATGCCAAAAAACCAAATGAAATTATTCAAAAACATATAAGGATTTTACATTTTTGTCCTTATAATATTCATCATAAATGAAGATGAGTGTTGGTATTTCCACCTCATGTCTTATTTCCCCACACGTCTTATCTTCCCACATGTAAATTTGAAAAAACACAATCCTATCTTTCCACCCACCATTATTCCTAAATACCCTTTAATTATTAATTCAAGCAAATTTTCTTTGCTAATCATTAGTAGTATATGCAGAGGATCAAATTGTGCTTGACAGACTAGATAAATGTTTTAGTCTAATATTTTGATTTTCTGGATCTTTAAGTTCTTTATTCTCTTGCACAAGCTTCTAAAAATATTCTAGATAAATGTTTTTTATTCACTACGATTTCCTTATACCTTTTCGATGGAGTTGCCCTCTTTGTCATCTATTCTCTTGTTATTTTCTTCTTCAGAAACAATTTGATTGAATGAAGAAGAACATTATTTCAGAACTGAGTTCTGAGCACTGAGGAGTCATAAGATCAATTGAGGAGTCGTGAGTAACTAATGAGTCGTACACTATCTCTTTCTTCAATCGTCTACGCTTCCACTTCCTCTCTCCTTCAATTGTCTACGCCCCTACCTCAACCTCTGCTCCTTCGATCTTCTACGCCTCCTCCTCCTTTGCTCTTCTCCTCATCTCTTCATCTCTTCTTCTTTGTTACCTGGATGATTGATTATTGTAGTAGGTGGTCTTGTGTTTTTCATAGGCTGGTGAGCAATACCTATCTTTCAACAATAATTTTCTTCTCGGTTTGTGGATTTGTGAAATTGGGTTACTTATTTTTTGCTTTCTTTGTCGTTGAATGAAGTGGATGGGGACTTGCAACTTCTTAACCTCTTTTTCTGTTCAGTTTGTTCACAACTATGCTTGTTATGAAGATGGGTTTTTTGTTTGAATGTTAATGATCGGTTGAGCCTGTAATATATGATATATAACACCTGCTTGTTATTAAATTACCATTATTTCTTGTGTTTTCTCTTTTTCAATTGGTCAAAATCATTGATTTGCTTAGGGAATTTAAAGAGAGCTAATATGTGAGATATAACACATGCACTACTACAAAAAGTGAAAAAGACGACCAGAAAACCACGATGGTAGAACAAAATACCGTCGTTGTGTTGTCGTGGATAAGTAACTTAAACACCTAAAAAATGGAGGTCCGCTTGGATTTTTTTAAAAACGACGCACCCAACTAAAAAAGCGTCGTCTAATTACAAAGGTTTTCTTCATAGTTAAACTTTGACCCCAAAAACAACGACAGCAGGTATGAAGCCATCGACGTAGAAAGTAAAGACGTCGGTTCACCAAAACAGCCGCCATGTTAACTCATAAATAAACACGACCAACTATTCTTAGTTTGCGTCGTATAATATTATAGAATTCACGTCGATATATTACAAAACATCGTTGTATTAAATCCATGTACCACGACTATAAAGATAAATTTATTGACTTATTATTTGAGAGTGTACTACAATGGTATCTATAACACTACTGTCGTATAGAGTAGTAGAGAACCACGACAGAAGAAGAGTAGGTAACGACGTCTAAATTAGAATATCCAAGTCGTATTTTTACTATATCAAGACTTATTAAGACGATGGTCCGTAAAAGTTAGTACTAACCACGTTGGTTTGTTTAATTAGAGTCGTATAATATTAATTTACCACGTCGTGAAGTTAAAATTACCGTTGTATTTATTCAATTTATACGTCTGCCCTTATCTGTAAACCGCCGTCTTAATTTTATTGCTTTTTAAGATTTATTTATTGGATTTTTGTAGCCTGCGACGGTAGATCAAGAAAATGACAAGAATTGAGAAAAACCACGACGGTTTATATAGAAAACCGTCGTCACAGGAAAATTAAAATGAGATCCCAAGAGATATGAAATCTTACCAGTGGGATCTATGTTCTTGATCATAATCGAACCACCAATGTGAGAAAGACAATATTTAAGATATTGATGACTTATGTGTCTTTGAGATACACAAAGGCACATACGCATCAAAATCCAAAGAAATTGCCTCTAAACCAAACCAGAACTGAACTGACGACGACAACCTTTGAGAAAGACAATGTTTTGAAAGTTAATTATGTGTGCGTTTTGGTGTCTTTGAGATACACCAAAACACATACATCGTTAACATCCAAATTATTGCCCCCCAGAGAGGTGAGAGAGAGCGACTTTATTATTTCAAGTTGGAAACCTAAGTGAAAACTGCAAGTGAAAGAACGGGTGAAAAGATCCAATTTATACAAATTATCTTTACTAACCACGGCGGTCCTTTTACAATTTCCGCCATCTAATGTTAAAAAACCATGACGATTCTTACTACCATAGCGTCGTTTTAAAGACATACTAGGGCGGTTATTTAGAATATAGCGGGTGGTTGTTTCCACTAACCACGTCGGTTTCTTTAGTTATAGCGTTGTTAATAATATATTCCCACGTCGTTATTTTTTATACGACTGTTCTTTCAGTGTACCGTCGTCTTAAATTTGTATTGCTATTTTAGATTTAATTTCTAGATTTTAGTAGCTTACGACAGTAGATCAAGAAAATGAAAAGTACCGCTATGTTAATTTATTTTATACGACTGACTTTATTAGTGAACCATCGTCTTAATTTTTATTTCTTTTAAGATTCATATATTGGATTTTGGTAGCCTAAGACGGTAGATCAACAAAATGACAAGAATTGCCAAAAACCACGCATCAAAATCCAAAAAAAATTGGTAGCCTAAGATACACAAAGCCCATACGCATCAAATTCTCGAGATTCTTGATCTTGATGACAAATCCATGGCGTCAGTATCTACCACTCAGCATGAAGATGAGGTCGATCCCTTTGCAAACGAAGATATGCTAGACAACTGTCATCCATATATTTATGGTGGGCCTCAGTAATATTATGTCTGATAAGAAGACAATTTGTACTTATTGTAATTTTGCGTTAAGGTATTTTACTTTTGCTTTAATTTTACTTTTCCTCTTGTTAAAGCAAGTTGCTTTTGCTTTAACTTTGCTTTCACTTTACTTTTGTAAAAGTTTGCTTTTTCTTTTGTCCGTTTGCGTGAATGATCAGCCATAATCATTAAAGTGAAGATGCCGCTCTACTGTAGGCTGCTTTGTGACTTCCTATCCCTGATTGACACGTCAACAGCCTCGAGGCTTTAAATGGAGGACTTCCCCTCAGTTGCGCATCATCGAAAAATATCGCCTCACTAGCTAAAATAAACTCTGTCTTTTTGAGTTTTTTGAGTTTGAGTGTTTATTTCCCAAGTGTTGTTTCTGCGAAGCTTCTGTTAAGCAATACTGCCTTTCTGCAGCTATGTAAGTTTGCAAAAATTTAATGATATCGTTTTTAATTCGTTATACTCTTTTCCTTGGTTTTGGATTTGTACATTTGAGTTCCTTGTGATTGTTTTATTTATTCTCTACGGCTCCACACTACCTTCCACACGTAAGCTTAAAATTGATTAAAAAATTTTGCTCTTAAGAGGCTGGGCCACTGGGCCAGTATCTGGTATCAGAGCCTAAATTCTCGTGAGAATTGTTAGGTTAAAGGTTTTTACTAAGTTTTGCAGGACTAATCTTTTGGTTTTTCTGTCAAGTTTCCTTTACTCACTAATCATTGAGTTGTCTAGCTGTCGGATAGGCTCGTTAGCGGTTGCCAGAGAGGTGTGAGGCGTTGAGAGACCTAGGCAGGGACTAGCAAACCTTGAATTAGGAGGAGAACATAAGGAAAGCATAAAACCCAGAATATTAAAATGGCAAGCCTTAGGAGAATCTTGTCTTCCCGTTCTTCTGGAGAAGCAAGCTCCAGTAACAGTTCTAGCCACAGCACCTTAAGAGTTAATAACTGTTTATACCATATCTGACCCTCAACTCACATGCGTCTCAACCCAAACAAGTGTGCCTTCGGCATCTACTCCGGCAAATTTCTAGGCTTCATGATCAATCAACGAGGCATTGAGGCCAACCCTGAAAAGATCAAAGCATTACTTGACATGCAAGTGCCGAAAACACAGAAAGATATCCAGAGTCTCACCGGGCGCGTCGCTGTTCGGTTCATTTTTACACATGATTTTTCATGTTATTCACCTATTATTTTGAGTTAGTTCTTGACATTTTATAGCTTTTTACTTCCTTTTTGTGTTTTCTTAGATTTTACCTTGGTTAGAATGAAAATGAGCTAAAAGTGCATTATTGGTTATAAATTCTGTTTTTGTTCATTTTCGTAGGTCAACTTCTTGGCCTGGGATCAACATGCTCTTGTACTCGGATGAGTGAAGATCTTCATGAAACTTGTTCCAATGGATGTTAACTACAACATATCCAAATTTGAGCTTCATTGGACAAGTATTGCCTATCCAACCAATCCAGCATGTTACCACAGCTCTGGAAATCCGAAGTGCTCCAGCTTTTACCTCCATATTGTTATCTTGATTCTTCTTGTTACCATAACACTTGGTAACAAGAAATTACCTT